AAAATTATTATTATCAGTTAGCAACTATTTTAGCCTATTTAATTCTCCTTCAGAATGATATATGTTTACAAACATCACGCTTCTCGTAATCGTTGCTTTCAAATTCATAACCTTCATTAAGCTTTTATCAAGTTTTGTCACATGATAATCCGCAAAAGTAAGTGCTAAGCAAGATCTCTGCGATTCTTTGTTTCCGTCAAAGTTGTAGTAATAGTCATGAATACATGAAGAGCTGGACAGTCTTCTTGACCTAATGTCTACTTGATACATTAACATGAGTTAGTTATCGCTCTTTCAATGTCCATTGAATGATGGCCGGAATCTCGGGCCATTTTTGCCCGAAACAGAGAGGACATCTAGCGAACTATGTCAACCTGAACATCCTATTCAACTCAAACGGTTACAGTAAAACGTGAATCAGCCATCGTGTTATGGTTAGATCGACCTTCAAATCACTTTATCATGGACTCTATGTGAAATGAAAGTCTCCCCAACAATAGTATCCTAAAAATTAATCGAAATCGGTTTATGTATTATTCATATATACGATAGCATTGATGTCTAAAATACATAAATTCGACTTATCTAGGCAGCTATTGGAAAAATATTCAGAGAAAAACATGTTTGAAGTCTAAGGAACTCATTTAGTGGACTCATTGATTCAAGCAAGAAGTATTTTTTGTCCATACGCCGTTTTTATCCTGCAATACAAATGAGACAATATGCGTATAAGGAAGTTTTAGAGACGACCAGCGGATCTGATATAAGAGCTGTATTCACCCTATTTCGTTTTCCCACAGTGATTTGGGTTCGCCTTACCTTTCCATGAAATTTCGCATAGGGCGACATGAATTCCATGAAAGACCAGGCATTTCCCATATTACGTTTTTACTGTGTCTCTGCTGCTACGACTGATTACATTACCTATATCCTTATTACGTAGACTTTAAGACAGATCTTGGATAATTTATTTAAATTCACGTCCCTTTTGACCCAGGAAGACTGTAGTAATATGGCGCAGTAATGACATATCGAGACTATACGCTGCTCTACCCGGGATTATGGGATATAAAATTTTAGTTTACCTTGGAGGAGAGCTTATTCGGTCAGTTAGCTATATCATTACTATTATTAAGCGTCATTTCTGACCCCTTTTGTTTATACATCAGTAGCTAATCTTCCATAGACCTTACAATGGCACAATTACAACGCACTCAAAGTAATAACGCACTTTTGGTATATATTGTTATCTATAAAAGTACCATCATGACTCGATTTTGAAAAGATTTACCATTCCTCTAAGAAATGAATAATTTGGCATTAATGAATTATCCTTCACTAATAAGCTTTAAAGGATTTAAACTTCTAATTACCATCGTAATTATTTTTCACACTTCCAGAAGCATGTTCAGCAGTACAGAGGCCGCCTAGGTGGCATATGTACATGAACTTTGTTTTACTTCTTTATCTTTACTTTAAAATTCAACAATTTATCCTTTCGTATATGATTTTCCAGTCACGGTCTCATTATTTTTTTATTTCCGCAGCTATCTCTAATTCGGCAATGCCAAGAGACGAGTCCACATCGATCACTGACTCATCCTGTTCTAAGCCTGTAGCTTTTATTTCCAATCAGAATTTAGCCCAGCCGCACTCTTTGTCGGCCATAGAACTCCAGCCCGTTGGACTTGCTCCCAATTCGATGCCATCTGAATCTGAGGACTCGGTAAAATCTGAAATTCCTCCTGCAGCATTTGATTCAGACGTTTCTTCCATTCAATTATCTTCTAAAATGCCTTCTAAAGAAGCTGTCTCCGAATCACAGACAACGGACGATCCTCTCCAGAACTCTAGTCAAGCAAATCTGAATTCTTGTGTTGATCCAATAGAACTAGAATCTAGTTTAAACAGAGGCTTTTCTGGTCCTTCCGTCGCAGCTTACAACGTACATCGTACCTTGTGTTCCTTCAACCTTTCCGCCACTAGACTGATGCAAGTAGATGACGATTGATCTGTTCGACCTAACTTTGCAGATATATACACGTGTGCCTTTCCCTCGACTCAAGCTCAAATTTTGTGAGAATCGGCATCGCTGAAACCAGTTTTTTTTGCAGTTCTCAGATTTGTTTTATCCTTTTCATTTTATTCGTTTATAGTTAATTTTAGCAGAAAACCATTTTTTTACTTTTTCGTACTGATAATTATCACTTGATTTGACCATGGTAAGAGGGCTTTAATCGCCTTCTGTATAATGAGCAGGTTATCTGCTGTATTGAACATCAGGTTTGCTTAAAACTGAAGCACCAAACTTAACCAGAGTACTAAGCCATGGTCTATTATGGTAGAATCGGGCTGAATATCTGGGGGCATCGTAAGGCCGAATGAGTGCATTACTATAGCTTCTGTCCCCGTTCTTCAGATCAGCTTAGATGATGGATGGGGAACCCAAGATTTTTCATTCAGAAACTCTTTCAATATCAAAAAAATGAGACCTGCCAACATAAGGTCTATTTCTTAAGAATAAAAAATATGTTATTCAGACGTAAATAATCACTTTATTACTGTATCATTGTGAAACATTAATTTATTTTGCCATTGATATTTTTTGAAATATTGATGAATTACTTGGTCATAACAGATTGTACTAGATCGAGAATTTTGTATTTGAAGACCATGTCAAAGATTACATATGCATTTTGCTGATTGTTTCACAACCACAGCCTTTTTCATTTTATATTAATAACCTCTGAAAGCAGTGATAATGTTCTTTATTTGAACAAAATAGGCTCCTTCGATAAATG